AAGCAGCAGCAGATAAACAATAACCATTTGAGACTTTAATACTCCACTCTCAATTGGGAATAAGAAAACTAGGTAGAAAAACACTGAATAAATAAATAAAAGACTTAAAAAATACCATAAAAGAACTACACCAAATAGACCTTTATGGGACATTCAATCCAACAAGAAGAGAATACATATACTTCTCAATTACATATGGAACATTTTTCCTGGGAAATTCATATTCTAGGGTATAAGATAAGCCTCAATACATTTAAAATGATTGAAACCATACAGAGTATGTTCTGTGACAACAATAAAATAAAATTAGATATCAATCACCGAAATCAACTTTTAAATTCGCAAATACGTGGAAATTAAATAAGACACTCCCAAATTACTAATCATCTAAGAAAAAATGACAAGATAAATTTTAAAAAATAATTTGTGATGGAACTAAAATGAAAAAAAAGCATACAAAAACTCATGGGATATACCTAATGTAGTGCTCGGAGTGAAATTTAGTGCTTTAAATGACATATTAAAAAATAAGATAAATTTGAAATTAATACTTAAACTTGCATCATAAGAAAAATGAAAAGTGAGTAAATAACAAGCAAACAAAGAAGAAAGGAAATAGTAAATATTGGAACAGAAATTAATTGAATGTAACATAGGAAAAAAATTAAGAAACTCGATAAAATCAAAAGTTAGTCTTTAAAAACATCATAAAATTTAAAAAAAACCTTTGGTATGAATGACCAAGTAAAAAGGAGGAAATTCAAATTAAAAAATTATGAAAATAAAAGAGAAAGTCAATACTCACTTTATACAAATTTAATAAAAAGATTATAAGGAAACACAATATATACTTTTATATAAACACATTAGATAACTGCAATGAACTGGACAAATTCCTAGAAAGAGACAAATTTCCTAAACTGATTTAGGAAGAGTTATAAAATCTGAATAGACTTATAGAAAAGGATTGAAGTAGCAATCAAAAAACTTCTCACATAGAATAACTAAAGCCCAGATGGCTTCATTGGTGAAATCTACTACACAATTCATGCAGAATTAATATCAATCTTCACAATAATAGAAATGGAAGGAATGCTTCCTAAGCCATTCTCTATGACCAAAGTAACGGAAATAAACACTTCTGTTTATGACCAATTGATTTTAAACAAGAGTATTGAGACAATTCAATGGGAGAAACAACATTCTTTTTAATAAATGGTGCCAGGACAAGTAGATATGCTCATGCAAAAGAATGAGGTTGGAGCCCTACTTTACACCATATTAACAAAGAACTCAAAATTGATCATAGACCTAAATAAAAAAGATAAAATCATAAAAATTTAGGAGAAAACATAAGAGCTAATTACCACAACCTTGGGTTATATGTTTTCTTAGACACTATGAAGCTCAAATGACAAAAGAAAAATTAGATAAATTAGACTTCATCAAAATTAAAAGATATTTTGTCTCAGTTGTCATCATCAGAAAGCAAAAAGACAAAACCCAGAATGAAATAAAATATTTTCAAATTATAGTCTGATAAGGAAATTTTATCCAGAATATATAAAGAACATTGACAACTCAAAAAGACATCTGAATTTTTAAATGAACAAAACATTTGAATAGACATCTCTCCAAAGATGATATACAAATCAACAATAAGCACATGAAAAGACGGTCAACATCATTAGTCACCAAGGAAATGCAAATAATAACCACAATGAGATATCGCTTCATTCTCACCAGGACTGCTGTAATAAAAAAAGATAATAAGAAGGGTTAGTGTGTGCTCGCTTCAGCAGCACATATACTAAAAGAAGGGTTAGTGAGAATGTGGAAAAATTGGAACCCTCAATCATTGCTGGTGAAATTTTAAATTCTTACCAGTTGCTCTGTAAAATAGTTTGGTAGTTTCTTAAAATGGCAAATATCAAATTATACTATGATGCAGCAATTCCACTTCAAGATATATATCCAAATGAATGAAAATGTGTGTCCACACAAAAAGACATGAATGTGCATAACTCTTATTCATAATGGACAAAAAGTAGAAACAATTCAAATGTACATTAACTAAATGACCACTGAATGTCTATGAATAGACAATATGTTATACATCCATATAATTAGCTGGCAATAAAAAGGAATGAAGTACTGATTTGTGCTACAACATGAACCTTGTAATTATTATGCTATGTGAAAAAAGCCAATCACAAGTGGACACACATTGTATGATTCTATTTACATGAAATGTCCACAGTAATCATATTCTTAGAGACAGGAAGTAAATTAGTGGTCAGCAGTGGCTGAATTGAGGGAGAGATGGGGGGTGACTACTAATGGGTACAGATTTTCCTTTATCAGGTGATGGATATGTTTTTAATGAGACTATGATGACAGTTGCACAATTGGGGATATCCTAAAAACCACCGTGTTATATACCTGTAAAAGGTGAATTTTATGTTGTGTGAAATAAATTTTAATAAAGTTGTTATTTAAAAAACAATACTTTTAAAAATAATCATACCTGAGAGTGAATTTTGTCTTTCTTATCTAATTTAAAATAGAAGAATTTAAAGCAAAATTAAGCAAAATTTAAAGCAAAAAAAAAAAGAAGACACCTTTTTCTTCTTCTAGTAGTTTCCTCATCTTAATCAGCAATAAAAAACAACTCAGAAAACCAGAAATGAATGCATACTTCATTTGGAAAAAACTAAGGAAAAGTTATGAGAGCTGAATTCAGTGCAACATGAGCCAGGAAAAGTAAAAATTGTCTGCACTGGAAGAAAATAAATGGTGGCAACCAAAGGGTCAAGCAAATGCTTCCCTGGTTCCATTTCAAAAAGCTTCACTAACTCAATTCCAACTCCAAGGATTCCAGTTTCCGTCCAGCTGTTTAATCCCAGGATTCTTATCCAATCTGCTAGTTTTGATTTGCAAGAGTCTTGCCTCACACTACCTCAATGTCCTAGAGATGGAGAAGTCTCCAGAACTGATCAAGAAGAGGGAGGAACTTAGGGACTCTGAGAAACATGGCAGAGTGAGAGACGTCTGCAGATCTCTCCCTCTGAAACAACAATAAGCTGAACATCTAAAACTCAACCAAAAACGCCCAAACTGCACACCAACACAGTAGTGGTTACTAGCGGGGGGAGGAGGAAGGAAGAGTTTGACAGGGCATAGGGGGTCGGGGTAGTCAGTGAAGTGGGTAAACGGGAGCAAATATATGGTAGCTGAAGGAAACTGGACTTTGGGTGGTAAACACACAATAGAATATACAGATGTCAAATGATAACGTACACCTGAAAATTATATAATTTTACTAACCAATGTTACCTCAATAAACTTAGTTTTTAGAAAGTTAAAAAAAAAAAGAAGAGGGAGGAACTTACAAAACACATTAGCTTGAAATAAAATTCCAAATTATTTCAGCAAATTCCTGAGATACTGAGAGTAGAAAGGAACTCAAACTATACTTTTTACTTTGTCTGTGGTAAGTTCATTGACAGTTTCATCTTAGAACTGATAGGAAAATATATTTTGAAATAGGTATTATCAAAGGTTTAAATATAATCACATATAGAATAGAAACTGAATGTACAGTATGTAAAAAAACTTGATCAATACGTAAAATTTAAGAAAAAATAAGAAAGTATAAATAAAATATGAAATAAAATTGCATGAAAATGAACAAATATAGAACATGAAATATCAATAAGTTCAATCCCCCTCTTAAAAAATCATTTCAGTCTTGCTCAAAAAGAAAAGCAAGGTCCTTTGGTTTATAATAATTTATTCTAAATTTAAAAGACAGATTGAAAATAAAGTGATATATCATCAAAAAGCAGTAAAAGGAAAGAAAAAGTGGCAATGTATCACACAATCAGCATTCAAGATAACAGCATTTTGTAGGAAAAAAAATACATTACTTTAAATGTATATATTTATGTACAAAAGATACATTAGACATAAACCTTTTATAACATCTAAATATACAAAGAAAAACTATTGGAATCAAGAAAAACTTTCCAAACTGCCATTGTAATAACAGATTGAGACAGACTGCAGTAACAATTGTAATGCAACTGTAACATAATGTAATGTAATTGTAATGTAGTAACATAGTATTAACAGATTCAGGAAGAGAATAAGGAGTAGAAGGAGAGCTGAAAGAGGAAGAGAAAAATATCAATATTGTAAATAAAGAGACAAATTTATTAGTTACCATAATTGTATATTATAAAATATTTACTTAGAAAACAATGTAGAAAAATACTTGAAAAACTTCCAGATCTAACCAGAGATGTTCAGTATAGAAGTACCAGATAAAATATAAATATATTCCTTTTATACAGTGATAGTTAATTAAAAAGAATAATGGAAAACATCTCATTAGAAATAATGATGCATATAAAATGAAACTTTACTAGAAAAACATACTATTCTTTAAAGGGAAAAACTCAATTATGTGCCTTTTTCTAGAAACTGGAAAAATAAACTACAGTTCATTTAGAAAAGTAAATGTGCAAGATTGCCATGAATTTTTGTAATAGATATTTAATGAGAGAAAATTTGTCAAGCCAATTATAAAAAGATACAATAAAATTCTTGTAATTAAAAAAGAAAACACCAGAAATGAAGTGGAAATATAGAGAGAGATGCTGGCCAGCTTCCCTCAAAGCAAGCAATCCAAGAGTACAAGCCAGATATTGCAATGCCTTTTCTGATCTATCTTTGAAAGTCACACACCTTCACAACTATAATGTCACATGGTTTATATATTAACCCTATTTGACATGGGATGGGACTACAGGGGCAAGAATACCAGATGAGGATGACTGGGAGCCATTTTTTAGGATGGTCACAAAATTCTAGTAAGAAACTTCTTAAAACTGTTTTAAGAACATATAACAAATAATCTAAACTTTTGTATTCATGATAAAATAATACATGAAAGGTAAATGGAAACATCAACAACAAATATAGGAAAAATTACTTACGTGGACAGAAAGTTATGGAAACATTACATTCTGTATATGGTTGTAGAATCCCACTCAGTACACCAAGCTTAAATATGCCATCTTTGAAAAGTTTGCCAGCATTACTAATATCAAAAGTCCACTGCACATCTTTTGTTGAAGTATTAAATAAGACAAGATTCTGTTAAGACACAAAAACAGAAATTTATAAAAATTTCAATATGCAATATAAAATTTGGTTGGCAATACCATACCAAATTGATGGGCCTATGCACAATGTCAAGCAATTAAAAGTGGTAATCATAGATAAAATGTTTTAAAAGTGATGTTAGGCAAACAAAGACATATGCAAACATGTTCATAGCTTATTATTATTAACAACTATGAAAAGCACACAAAGGATAGAGAATGAGGTAAAACAAAAATATCGAAATTATGATGCCAGCTAGCAAGGATGCAGAGTAACAAAAACCTTCATTCATGGTTGTGAGAATGCAAAACGGTACAGTAAAGCATATACCTACCACTTTACCCAGTAATCTCACTCATAATTATTTACTTAAGTGAATCAAAAATTTATGTTGATTATTTGTTTTGCTTTATAATTTCTAGTCAAAACATAGTTTCTCAAAGTTACTTAAGCCATTCCTCTGCATTCCCACTGACATCGATGATATTATTTCATACATTTGTAATACAGTTTGTCATAGTCTAAGATCTTGTTAGAAACAAAACAAGATTTCCTTCAACTAATGAATAGATAAACAAAATGTAGTACACATCCATACAATGAATAAAATTCAGTGATAAAATAAGTGAAGTATAATATTAACACAAAAAGATAAATGAATATTAAATATATTTTTGCTAAGTCAAAGATGTCAGATCCAAATGGCTACATATTTTATAATTATATTAATTCCCGTCATTCTAGAAATGTAAAATTATATGAATGGAAAAAAAATCAGTGGTTGCCAAGTGTTGGTGGAAGGAAGAATAGTTGACTACAAAGGGGTTACACAGAGAATTTTCACTGTAATGAAACTGTTCTGTATGGTACTGAAGTGTTAGATAAATGATTGTGTACATTTTCTAAAACTCATAGAACTACATACTACAAAGAGTGAACTTAAATGTATGTAAATTTTAAACAATCAATCAAGATGTTGGGAATCCCAGGATGGATCTTAGACTATGACAGACTGTATTACAAATGTATGAAATAATATCATCGATGTCAGTGGGAATGCAGAGGAATGGCTTAAGTAACTTTGAGAAACTATGTTTTGACTAGAAATTATAAAGCAAAACACAAGTTACTCTTTATAAACGATGTACTCTAGTTGGCAAATGTGTTAGCACTTCTAACAGGCTATAGGTTAAAAATTCTGAAACTTTTTTACTAGTGTACTAAGGTTAAAAAATAAGTAAAAAAATAATAAATAAGGAGCCTTTTTGTTGGTAGATGCTACCAAGTAAGCATTGTTAAAGTCTCCCCTCCTGTGGTCATCAAGTCTAAGTAAGAGCCCTTCAAAGAGCCCAAACAGTTGTGGAAGCTCTTCATCAGAGGTTTGAGCTTTGAAACAACCAATGAGAGTCTGGGGAGCCATTTTGAGCAATGGACAACACTCACAGACTATGTGATGATGAGAGATCCAAACACCAAATACTCCAGAGGCTTTGGGTTTGTCACTTATGCCACTGTGGAGGATGTGGATGCAGCCATGAAGGCAAAGCCATACAAAGTGGATGGAAGGGTTGTAGAACCAAAGACGGCTGTCTCAAGAGGAGATTCTCAAAGACCTGGTGCCCACTTAACTGTGAAACAAGATTTTTGTTGGTGGTATTAAAGAAGACACTGACGAACATCACCTAAGAGATTATTTTGAACAGTATAGGAAAATTGTAGTGATTGAAATCGTGTCTGACCGACGCAGTGGCAAGAAGAGAGGCTTTGCTGTTGTAACCTTTGATGACCATGGCTCTGTAGATAAGACTGTCATTCAGAAATACCATACTGTACATGACCACAATAGTGAAGTAAGGAAAGCCCTACCTAAGCAAAAGATGGCGACTGCACATCCAACCAAAGAGGTCTAGTGGTTCTGGAAACTTTGGTGGTGGTCATAGAAGTTGTTTTCGTGAGAATGACAACTTTGGTCATGGAGAAAACTTCAGTGGTCAAGGTGGCTTTGATAGCAGTTGTGGCAGTAGAGGATATGGTGGCAGTGGGGATGGCTATAATGGATTTGGTAAGTAGGGAAGCAATTTGGGAGGAGGCAGAAGCTACAATGATTTTGGCAATTACAACAACCCATGCTCAAATTTTGGAACCATGAAAGGAGGAAACTTGGAAAGCAGAAGCACTGGCCTCTATGGTAGTGGAGGTCAATACTTTGCCAAACCACAAAACCAAGGTGGCTATGTCGGTTCCAGCAGCAGCAGTAGCTGTGGCAGTGGCAGAAGGTTTTACTCACTGCCAGGAAACAAAGCTTAGTAGGAGAGGAGAGCCAAGGAAGTGACAGAGAAGCTACAGGTTAGAACAGATTTATGAACTCAGTCAAGCACAATGGTGGCGGGGCCGAGCTACTACAAAAAAGATATGTTTTAGACAATGCTCATGTGTATGGGCAAAAAACTTGAGGACTGTATTTGTGACTAAAATTGTATAACAGGTTATTTTAGTTTCTGTTTTGTGGAAAGTGTAAAGCACTCCAACAAAGGGTTTTAATGTAGAGATATTTTTTGCACCCATGCTGTTGATTGTTAATTGTAATGGTCTGATCATGACACTGAGTAAATATGTCTTTTAAAAAATTATAATAAAATAAGCAAGGGAGAAAGAGGAAAGGGTAGAATTAAACTTGTGGTACTGGATTAGAGTCAATGTCAGCAGTATCAGTTTGAACTCATGTTGACAGAGAGTCATGATTGATAAATAGATGGATAGATGGATGGATAGGTAATTATACAAATATGTGATAGATAGATAGATAGATATAGATATACGTATATTCATGAGTTAGTATACATACAAATATTTCCTGGCTCTATTTGCTGAACGGGTCTAGAACACGACACCTCAAAAGCACCTAGCACACCTATTGCACAGATCTTGATTTCTAAATACCATTCTCCCATAAAAGGTACAGGTGTTTCTTGGAGAAAATGTTGATTCTAGAGTTTGAACAAGTAAAATAAAAGATGAGCCTGGATAATTTATAGTGCCAGAAAGTAAGAGACTGCTTAAATATTATAATGCTGAGAGTATGTTAAAGGACCAGTCTAAAAGAACTTCCAATTACCAAAGCTGGAACAATTTTAGCTACTAAATAAATAATGCAATATTGTATTATAACTGCAAGTATAAAATAAATATATTTGAGTTCATTCTGATATATTATGTAAATAAATAGATACATGATGATAGATAACAGATTAAATAGATGATAGGTAGTAGATAGATAGATAGATAGATAGATAGATAATAGATAGATGATGAATAGAATAACTTTTCTTACAGAAAAATTCCAAATGATATTCCCTTCCAGAAAGTGGAGCTTGACCCTGTACCCCATGAGTGTGGGCTGAAATTGACAACTCAGTTCCAAAGTATAGAGTGTAGAAAGAGAACAGTTTCTTCAACTTTACAGTAGAGAAACTTGGCATATATCACCAGTGAAAGTCAATGTTGATATCATGTATTCCCTTCACATAACGTGACAAAAAGGATATTTCACCTCCCTGACATACCTCCTCAAAACCCATGGGAAATAAGAATTCAGTCTAGTCAGGTGGAACACATCAGATACACCAAAATCAGAGAACATTCTGAAAATAATGCCAGACTAGTATTTTAAAACTGTCGAGGTCATAATCCTGTGACGAGGTCATAAAAATATGATGAGGTCACATATCAGAGGAAATGAAATGAAATATGGAATCCTGGATTGGACCCTGAGACAGTAAAAGGACATTAGTGAAAAACTGGTGAAATAGAAATAGAATCTGATGTTTCCTTAAAAATACTGTACTAATGTTAATTTCTTAGTTTTAAAAAAATGTTCTATAGTTGTATAAATTATTAACGTTAGGGGAAGTTGCGTGAAGTATACACGGAAAATCTCAGCACTTTGTTATGTTTTGGTAAATCTGGGAGCTATGAAGATGACTTGTGTGCAGACTCATCTTTCCAGTAGAACATACTATTAAAGTAAAACCTTAAACCAGGCTTTTTATCAACTTTACTCTTCAAAAATTTGAAGCACATAGAATGATCCATAAATTGCGATCACAACAAAATAATGTACTTTGTTTCTTTCTAAAGCATTATTGATTTGAAATATTTAGAATAAAAAAATGAGTAAATTTTACTCCAGATATCTCTTAAGTATTCGAACATCTATTTAGTTCTAATATTCATATACTGTGTAACAAAATTAATTTGCACCTTATAAAGAAAACAACATCTTTTAAAATAGAAGGTGGGCATAAATCGTACTAGCTATTTAAATGCTTCATTTTCCTCATTCTGAAATTGAGAAAATGGTATAAGACCTCTAAAATACGATCCACTTTCCATATCCTATCCTAAGAATAGTACTGATACAGTCAGCTATAGAGAAACATTCAGTTTGTTTAGTATTTTATTATTTTTCTTTATAATTTTATCAAAATAATACATGTACATAGGTTACATAAATAGCTCAAAAATGCTATAAAAAACAGGTGTCACACACAACTCCTCCTCGTTAACAGTTCTATTTCCCAGAAGCAACCAATTTTAGCCCATTCTGATTTGGATTTTCTCTAATAACTATATCTTATTCTATGGGGTGAAAGGTTAAAGAAGTACAAATTAGTAGTTGATAGTTGGGCACGGGGAGCATGGCATAGGGAATGTAGTTAGCATTAATATGATGGCTAAATGGAGGGTCAGGGGAGGGAGGGAGCAATTAGGGGGATCGTTTTATGAACGTTATAAATGTTTAACCAATTTACTGTATACTTGAAACTAATTTAAATAAACAAATTTATTTTAAAAAATAATAAATAAATATAAATAAATAAAATAAATGTGATGCTGAAATGGCTTACTTTAGGTTTTTTATGGCTGCCATAACAAATTACCACAAACATTTTAAAAGAATACAAATTTATTATATTACAGTGTTATAGGTTAGAAGTTCAACACAGATATTACTGGACTAAGATCAAGGTGTTAGAAAAAACTACGATTTTCTTCTAAGGTTCAAAATTTCTGGAGGCTCTAAGGAAGAATTTCCTTCCTTGCCACTCCCAGTTTCTAGAGGTCAGACACATTCTTTGGCTGGTGGCCTCCTTCCCCTATCTTCAAATCCAGCAACATCACAACTCTCCACCCTTCTATTATCACATTTCCTTCTGATCACAGTCAGGAAAGGTTCTCTGTTTTTAACCACTTCTGTGAGAAGACTGGGACCACCCAGGTAATCTAGGATAATCTCCCTTGCTCAGGATCCTTAATCTTAATGACATTACACATTAGCAAATTATTTTTTGTAATATAAGGTAGCGTACTCACAAATTCTGGAGATTAAGAATTGGACAACATTGGAGGCTATAATTCTGACTACAACATGGCTATTTCATGATTTATCAGATTCAGATATCATGACTTGATTGTCACTAGTAAAGATGACGATTTAGCTCATTTGTACTACCACCACTACTCTCCCCACCTTCTAATTTGGGATACTTATATTATTTTAATTCTTCCATTAGTCACCTGTAACTTTAAGCAATGTATTTATATATCTAGTTCTTTCTCCATCACCTTTAGACAATTCCCTCTAATCGCTAACCATGTAAAACGAGTTTCACTCCTCTTTCTTCTACCATCCTCAAAGCCTTCTGTCAACTTAACCTTCACATACACACTGTACATATCATACACGTGCCATTTTACATATACTACGTTATATATAATCACATTTTAATTCTGTTCCATAAGCATATTAAGACTTCTCTGTATTATATATTTTATTCTGACTCTGTAAATGTCATTCATGGCAAATCCAGTATATTATCGTCATATTTCCTTCTATGTGGGGCCAATGTGACTCTTGCCACTCAAGGAGGAAGACTCTCATTGTCTATATCATCTTTTATCATACCCACTGAATAAAATTATGATATAAAATAATCTTGCATTTATGAAGGGATTGTTTTACTTTGGAATTCAATCCAATTCAGTTCACTAGATTCCTTTCTAACCTCACATACAAGGACTTTGCATCCTTGAAGTTATATTACAGTTAGCAATCTTCCTGACACTTTATGCTTAACACAGTCACATTTAAATTCCAGAAGAGGTTTTTTTATTATTTTCTAACTACAATTTCATGTACACTCTGCTATTATTTTATGGATGCAATGTTAAGTAGTTTCTCCAGATAAATTTTCTTTAAGCTATAGAGGTTCAACATTTATTGTAGGAAAATCAATATATAAGACAGAAAAGGCAAACTACGAATACAAATTTCTACAATGTATACATGAACTTCCTTCTTATGCATGTCTCTCTTTTTTCTTTCTAGATGGATTCATAATTAGAAGAGAGGCAGAGATACAGAGTAAGAAAAAAAGAGTAGATTATCACAGAAGTCACTTTCTTATATACCTAGACTTTTTCAAATTTTATGCTTCTCATGACATTTCCTTACCTGTATGGAACATTTTTCACATTAATTTTAATCATAGCTTCCATTTGCACAAAGAAAGAGGGACAATTTAATTCTATTTAAAATATTTTGAGTAGTCCTATTAAATATATGCATCTATAAAATGAATGGTTTTATGTGTTTGTATACTTTGACAATTCTGAGAAATCTGAGGTATATATATTATATATAACACATATGCTATATATATATGTTATATATAACATATATACATCTGAGAAATGAGATATATATGTATATATGTATGCAAGCTACATATACATGCAAGTTCTCTAAAAATGAAAGTATTTTTCTAACATATGCTTCATAATAATCAACTCAACAAACCACAATCAGAAAAACAGTTGTGAACTGTACCAATTCTCTATACATACCTGAGTTACTGTGACCTTCTTATTAGGATTCATAGCATATGATGGAATTACAAATGTAAAATCAGTGCTGGATAAATTCAACGGTGCTTGCAATACTGTAAGAGGAAAGTAAATAGACTGATAAAATACTAATAGATATAAGCTCATAGATATTCCTTACCATACTTTCAATATGAAACAATAAAATTCCATTATTTTTTATTGTTACACTCTCATCAAAACAAAAAAAAATAAATTTTAAACATTTTTAGAATACCTTGGTTTACCATATCTATAAAGTTCCAATTTTTAATTTTAATGGTTACTACAAGTAAAATAGAAAAATTACTCTTGAGACAATAAAAGAATATGACATAAGAAATAGTGAGCAGAGAAAAAAGTAAACAAAGTTAAAATCATCTCCATACTAGAGTTTGACCAATGCAGTACAGAAGTGAAAAGAAACACAGACAGAAAAAATATGGGAATAAAGGGAACAGATACAGATTGCATATCTAATATTCATACATGAAACATAAAATGAATTGGTGGAATCTGCAAAAAATACATTAGAGAAGATATCTGATGGAAAAAACCTTATCTTTTTTAATAGATTTATTTTTTAGAGCGATTTTAGATTCACAGAAAAACTGAACAGAAGGTGAAGAGATTTCCCATATCTCCCTTGCCCCCACACATGCATAGTCTACTCCATTATCAACAATCCCACCACAGTGGTACATTTGCTATAATTGGTGAACCTACAATGATACATAATTATTATAAGTCAAAGCTCACTGTTTACATTAGGGAGCACTTGTGACAGTGAACATTCTATGGGTTTGAACAAATGTATAATGACATATACCCACCATTATAGTATTATACAGAGGAGATTCATTGCCCTGAAAAAATCTTCTGTGGTCTACCTATTCATCTCTCTCTCCCAACATCCCCGGGAAACCACTGGTCTTTTCATTGTCTCCACAGTTTTGCCTTTTCCAGACTGTCATACACTTGAAATGATACAGTATATAGCCTCTTGATATTGGCTTCTTTCACTTAGTAATATACATTCAAGGTCCATGGGATCTTGAATGTATATTGACCTGTATAAATGACCTGATAGCTCATTTCTTTTTAGAGCTGAATAACAGTCAGGGCATACCAAAGTCTGGCCATTCACCTACTGAAGGACATCTTAGTTGCTTCCAAATTTTAGCAATTATAAATAAATGTGCCATAAACATTTGTGTACAAGTTTTTGTGTGTACATAAGTTTTCAACTCCTTTGGAAGAATAACAAGGAGCAGGATTGGCTGGATCCTATGGTAAGAGTATGTTTAGTGGTAAGAAATAACCAAATGCCCTCTTTCAACGTAGCAATATCATTCATCATTCCCATTAGCAATGCAATCTCACCAGCAATTGCATTCTCATCAGTTCCTGTTATTCCACATCTCCAGCATTTAGTGTTGTCAGTGTTCTGGATTTTGGCCATTCTAATAGGTGTGTAGTAGTATCTTAGTGTTTTAATTTGCATTTTCCTGATGCATATAATGTGAAGTATTTTTATATGCTTATTTGCCATTTGTATATCTTCTTCGGTGAGGTGTATGTTGAGATCTTTGGCCCATTTTTCAATTGGTTTGTGTGTTTTCTCCTTGAGTTTTTGAGCTCTCTGTATGTTTTGGATAGCAGTTCTTTCTCAGATATATCTTTTGCAAATATTTTCTCCCAGCCAGTGGCTTGTCTTTTTGGCACTTGACAGTGTCTTTTGCAGAGCAGATATTTTAAATTTTAATAAAGTCCTGCTTATCAATTCTTTTTTCATGGATCTTGCCTTTCTTGTTGTATCTAAAATGTCATTGCCAAAGCCAAAGTCACCTAGATTTTTCCTGTTATCTTCTATGAGTTTTATAGTTTTGAAATTTTCCATTTAAGTCTGTGATCCATTTTGAGTTAATTTTTCTGAAAAATATAAGAACTGTGTCTAGATTTGCTTTTTGTTTTTGCTTGTGGATATCCAGTTGTTCAGCACCAAATTTTGAAAAGGCTACCTTTTCTGAATTGTATTGCCTGTATTCTATTGGCAAAGAACAGTTGACTAAATTTCTGTGGGTCTATTTCTGGGCTCTCTTTTCTGTTCCACTGACTATTTGTCTATATTTTTGCCAATACCAAACTCTCTTGATTATTGTACCTTTGTAGTAAATCTTGAAGTCAGATAGTGTCAGTCCTCCAACTTTGTTCTTCTTCAAAAGCGTGTTGGTTACTGTGCGCCTCTTCCTTTACATGTAAACTTCAAATCAATCGTCAAAATCCACAAAATAACTTGCTGAGAATCTGATTGAGATTGCATTGAATCTCTAGATCAAGTTGGAAAAAACTGCCATCTTGACAATAGTGTTTTCCTATACATGAACATATTACTTCATTTACTTAATTCTTCTGATTCTTTTTGTTTCATAGGTTTCCTCATATAGATCTTGTATATATTTTGTTAGATTTATACATGAGTATTTCATTTTGAGGGCTGTTAATGTAAATAGTACTTTGTATTTAATTTCAAAATCCATTTGTTCATTACCGGTATACAGATAAGCAATTGACTTTTGTATATTAACCTTGTATCCTGCAACCTTGCTATACTTTTAGGAATTTTTTTTTATCAGTTCTTTTAGATTTTCTACACAGACAATCATGTCATCTGTGAACAGACAGTTTAGTTCTTCTTTTCTAATCTGTATAAACAATTCATAAATTTTAAATTGCGCATTCTGAATTGCATGATAAAATCTCGTGGGCATCCCGCTCCATCCCGCCTGGGATGTGAATCATCCCTTTGTCCAGTGTACCCATGCTGCATATGCTCTCAGCCTGTTGGTCACTTAGTAGCCATCTTGGTTATCAAATGGGCTATAACAGTATCACACGGCTTGTGTTCAAGTAACCCTTATTTTATTTAATAATGTCACATTCATATAACTTTTATTACATTATATTGTTATAATTGTTTTATTTCATTATTAGTTATTATTATCTCTTACTGTGCCTAATTTATAAATGAAGCTTTATGACAGGTATGTATATCCAGAAAAAAAAAATGTCAGATATATAAGGTTTGGCATTATCCATGGTTTCAAGGGTCTACTAGGTGTCTTGGAACTTATCCTTCGTGGTTAAGGGGGCTCTACTGTAAAAAGATCACTGACATCTGCCAGACAAATACAAAACCTTGGTGATAAAGGAAAAGTTCATGAAAAGATAATTTATATAAGAAATATATAATTAATAGCATAGGTAGAAATTTCAATCCATAAGCAATTGAAAAAATGAAAATTGAAATATGTACTTTAAATCACATAGAAAAATATCTAATTTCTTTAATTCAATGCTGGTTAGAGTTTACACTGAAAGAGGGGTAAAAAAGCACAACTCTTTTCAAAAGCCCTTTTGCAAAATGCTTCAATAGCTTTAATATGTATATACTTTAGAAGGAATGCAGTCGATTCAGAGATAAGGACAAGAACCATATCGTTTCACTCATATGTGGAATATAAAACAGAAAGTAACAAACAAGACAAACAAACTCATAGACACAGACAACAGTATGGTGGTTACAAGAGGGGAAGGAGTGTAGGGGGAGGATGAAAAGAGTAAAGGGGGTTAAATATATGGTGACAGAAGAATACTAAACTTTGGGTGGTGAACACACAATGCAATATACAGATGATGTATTATAGAACTGTACATTTGAAACATGTACTGTTATTAACCAATATTAGCCCAATAAATTTCATTAAATAGAAAAAGGAAAAATATAAATAAGGAGAAAGTATTATACACAAAAATGTTCACTACTACAATAGTTATATTAACAAGAAAATAAAAAGAAGGAAAGAACTTAAATGCTTCTGATTATGCTTAAGTAACCTATAAGAGACACCTACTGGATGAAATATTCTATAATAGTTATCAGTGTTAACTTATATAATTAATAAGGGTCTATAACATCCAAGTAAAAGTTTATATTAAGAGTGAACAGATTTCAACTTAACATAAACAGTAAGATCGCAACTATGTTAAAAAAGAAGCTAATAAAAGCCAAGTACAGAACAAGAGTAAAAAACCAACATATTAATAATAGTATGTTCTAAATATGCACACTGCAGATGATAGTTTATGTATTTCTAAATTTTGCAATTTTCCTTAATAATGATATATTATTTTTTAATTTCTAAATAAGTACAATTTTATTTTATTTTTCACAAAAGTAATTTACCCTTTGTTTCTCTAAAAGGATATCTTAAAACAAGGGAGAAAACTTTAACTTCATGGAGCCTCTCTACCAGCTGTGGAATTCTTAATTCTGTATTTTAAATAGGAGTGAAATAAATTTCTATATTGTATTTGCTACCTTAATGAGGCTTCTATTACTAGGCGCCAAGTGTAATTATTAACTGATCACTATTTTATTATTGACAACTCAATGTCAGAACTACAAAAACAAAATACAGTATAATATAGGCTAGAGTTAATTTTTATGAAAAATTAAGCATATATTATAAACTACAAAGCCAAAGCTTTTCAAAAGTATGGCTTGCAGAATGCATCAGATTTATATGTGAATATTTGGAGAAAATGAGTAAATACTCAACAAATATTTCAAAGTTTTAATATATTTATCCTTCTTTATATATATTTAGTCCTTTGGCACTTTGGAAAAATATATTTTCTAAAATAAATTTCCATCCTTTCATTTTCTATCCAATGTATTTTGTTTTAGTAATTTAAATTTTAATTTAATCATTTAAAAACTGCCCACACAATAAAGTACTAATCTTTTTTAAAAAATTATATCTTATTTTTTAAGCAATGATCACTCACCTGAGGTTATATCCATGCTATTAATCAAAATGCAATCCCACAGACTCAATTTAAATGAAACACACAGGAATCATATCATAATTTTACTTTCTAATATTTCTTTTTTTAAAAAAATATATTCTGATTTTTAAACTTTCAGCTGCTGAAGTTGAACATTTGGTTTCTACACATCAACTGAATATTTCATATTACATACCAGTAGCTTGAACATAACATGGTCGAATAAGTGGTGTTGCCTTTGGAGTCACAGCAGATTTCGACGAATGACGTTGAGTGTAAAGTTCTGAAGCCTCAAAGAAATTAATTCGAACTTGAAAGCTAAATTCGTATGCTGCCACCTGACAGATAAAAAGTACATTACACCTATGACTATTTCTGCTGTAAGAAATTTGAAATACTAGTTTTATTGTAAATATGTAATGTATACAAAACCTGATGACTTGATATATATACATAATGAAATAACAGCACTATCAAACTAATTAACATATCTATTACCTAACAGTCTCCTTATTTATTGTGTGTGTGTGTGTGTGATGAGAACACTTAGGATATACCTTCTTAGCAAATGTCAAGTATAAAGTATAGTATTGTTACCAGAACTACCATATTACCCAGCAATCTTACTTCTAGGTATTCATCCTAAGGAATGGAAATCAGGATCTTGAAGAGATACCTGCACTCCTATGTTCATTACAGCATTATTCACAGCAGTAAAGCTATGGAAATAACCTAAATGTCCATCAAAGGATGAATGGATAATGAAAATGTGGTATATGCAGTGGAATATTCCATGTATTCCATGCAGTGGAATATTGTTCAGCTTTAAAAATAAGAGAACCTTCTATTTGCAATAACATGGATGGACCTGAAGAACATTATGCTAAGTGAAATACACCAGACACAGAAAGACAATGTATGATTTCACTTATATGTGGAATCTAAAATAGTCAAACTCGTAGAAGCAGAGAGTAAAAAGGTGGTTACGAGGGGCTTCAGGAAGGGGAAGGTGGAGAGATGTTGGTGAAGGAGTACAAAGCTTCAGTAATGCAAAATGAATAAGTTCTGGTGAGCTAATGAAATACTATAGATTTAGTAAAACAGCCATTTAGAAAAAGAGTTTCAAAAAGAAAATTATTTTGTGACATTGAAAGTACATTTTTCAAAATGAGACTTGGTTTATTTTTCATGAGTCCAAAAATAATTCTTAAAAATAAAAATACATAAAATAAATCTAAAAATAATGTTATTAATTCAAAATGAACCAAAGACATAAATATAAAATCGAAATATATAAACTTTGTAGAAGAAAATATAGAAGAAAAAATCTTTGTGATCCCTGGTTAGGCAGATTTCTTTGCAATATCAAAAGAACTATTTTTAAAAAATGATTAAATTGTCTTATCAAAATTAAAAACATCTGTTAAAGATAATGTTAACAAATAAAATTGCAAGCCAGACACACATTTCTGGCAAAAAAAATGACATATTATCACATGAAAATATGTTCAACATCATTAGACATTAAGGAAATGTAAATTAAATGAAAAGAGTTAACACTTGACACCTATCACAATGGCCTAAACAAAAAGGACACACTGTAGGACATCTGGTTCTGTTCATACATCCATCGAGACATTTAGTACATGACAAAAGGTCTTTGAAATTTGGTACTGTCTAAAACATCCATGCTTAGAAAATGTCCCTGGGTTCAAATAGCCCATAATGTTTATTTCTATGTTTGGTTTACAGGATTAATACATAAAAAATACTATCATGTTTTATTAGTTCAATAATTATATTGCGGCTGTACTGTCAATTGCCTCAGTTGCCTAGCTGATTAGCACATGGGGTTAGGTAGGTGGGTCAGGGTTGAAATCTTGCAGCAGAATGAGATTTATTTGAACTATGGACCAAATGTTTCCATGGACAGGACCAAAGGTCCACTAATTAAATGACATTACCAGGTACTGAAAAGATATGAGCACCTAATACATTTATGTATTGCTGATAGAATGTAAAGATCTCTAGTCATTTTGGAAAACAGTTTTCCAGTTTCTTAGAAAATTAAATACTTAACATAAGGCCCAAAACTTCCAACCTTAGGTGTTTACCAAAGAGAAATGAAAACTTATTCATACAAAAATCTGCATGTAAATGTTAATTGTGGCCTTATTCATAATTGCCAAAACCCAAAAACAAGCCTAATTTCCTCCAAATAATAAATGGATAACAAATTTTGGTAAATCCAAATAATAGGATACTTTTTTAACAATAAAATGGAATGAACTACTGTTACACATAATATGAATGGATTTCAAATTCATTATTCTTCGTAAGAGATGCCAGACTAAAAAGGCAACATACCTTATCATTCCGTTTATATAAATGAAAAGGCAAAATTAAACAAACAAAATGAGATCAGAGTTTGCCATGAACTGGAAGTGAGGGAGAGGCTGACTACAAACAGGCACAAGAAAAATTTAGGGAAGGTAATGGAACTGCTCTCTATACTGATTTTCATATTTGCTATAAAACTGTATAATTTAGTAATATTTATATAACAAAGAGAATTTTACTGCATCGCATTTTAAAAATAAATGAAGTTAAAGCTAATTCCTTAGCTCCGATTTTTACACATCTGGATTCAAACTCTAAAACAGACTAGCAATATATGCAGTTACTCAAATGAATCACAGAAATGAATACTAGAGCTTCATAACATTGTGGCAATTATATAGTGTTAGCCTTCATTTTTAAATGAATACTCTGTAGTCTAGCCTTGATAAAAACACAGTTGGCATCAAAGAAAAGAAAAAGAGCCCATTTTGATGTTTATGGCCCACACCAAAATGAAAGGAAAGGGTAATATCAGCCAAATGGTGGACAGCCAGCTTCAAATGTCCAATCCCTCCACACAAACACTGAAAAACAAGCAAAAGCTGTCAGGATCAACTTTCTTTAGAACTCTGGAAAATAGTCAATGGTTTACAGCAACTAAGTGAATACTGAATCAAGAAAAAGACAACTTTAAAACAGCAGGAAAGCTTTATGGCACTTTTACTTGCCCTTGTGCCTCTCCCTTCCTGACTCAGTGGCAATCTTGAAGATGGCTGCCTGTGTCCCAATGTCAGACCCTGGTATCTGGTTTGGGATAGAGCAGAGCAGACCTTATTCACAAATCATTGTACTTGTCTATTTTAACCTGTCTGGGGCTACCTGAAGGACTGACGCAAGATGCCTGTCTTGGTTTTGCCCGACTTCAAACTCGCTCAGATCAGAAAAGCAGTAGACTTTGCTCAAAAGTATTTCCAGACAAAAAAAAATTTGCAGCCACATAGGACAAAAGATTATGGTGGAGACATGCGAGAGCAGCCTAAAGCTTGTAAAGAAAAAGCTGGGGAAAGCATTTCTTTGGAAAATTAGGACATTCAAAAGCACCCATGCACTGGAGAATTTAGAAAGCCACAAGCATGTGCAGGACAGGGTACATGCTCAGAAAAAATTTGAAGACTCTAAGATATCACTTTTTTCTGTTCGCTCGGCTAAGTGCAATCAGGAAGTTGAGGCAAAAACAATTATAAATGGCCTGGCTAACTGCTAAATAAGTGCACTGGAACAGAGCCAATCCATAAGGAAATCTTTATCAAAACATTAGCTGAATACAAGTTAAAGGAACAGAGACTTCAGTGACAACACACAGCAAAGAACACATTCTTTGCAAACAATAATTTGTTAAAGTCTCTAAAGAAAAGGATGACTGCAGCCTTCAACACTCAAGGACAATAAATCCTAAGAAAGGCAGATAAAATCTTATTTCCAGTTACTATATTATAATATTTAAATATCCAGTTTTCAACAACAAAATCACAATGCATACACAAAGAAACAAAAACGCATGGCCCATTAAAAGAAAAAAAAATGACAGAAAGCATCCTGGAAGACTTATTAGGAAAAGATTTTAAATCCACTGTCTTAAATATGCTCACGGAGCTAAAGGAAACAAGAAAAAAGGGAAAAGGAAAACATAAAATGATATATTTTTAAAATGAGAATATCAACAGAGATAGAATAAAAATCAATGAAAAATTCAACAAAACTTTAAGCCAGACAGAAAAATAAAAAAATATATGACATAAATAACTAAAATAAAAAATGAGTGTGAACTTTACTATCAACCTTACAAAAAAAGGTATTCAAGGGGAATTTTATCAACAATTATATACCAATACAGAAAATAATCTAGATGATATTGACAGATTCACAGAAAAACAAAAATTACCAAAACTGACTCAAGAAGAAACAGAAAATATGAACAGACCTGTAGAATTATAGAATGATTCAATAAGACTCCCCAACAGAGAAAATTTCTGGACCAGATAGATGGCTTTACTGGTAAATTCTACCAAACATTTAAAAAATTAACACCAATATTTCTCAAACTCTTCCAAAAAAAAAAAAATAGAAGAGGAGGAAAAATTTTCTGACTCATTCTTTGAAGTCAACAGTCCCCAGATATCAAGGACAAATGAAGGCACCACAGAAAACAAAATTACAGACCAACGTCCCTTATGAATATAGATGATACAGTCCTTTGGAAATACTAGTAACCGAAATCTAAGAGCATATTATAAGCATTATATACACCTTGACCAAGTGGGATTTACTCCCACTTGGTCAAGGTGTATATAATGCTTATATAAGATTGCAAAGGTAGTTCAATATACAAAAATCAATCAATGAAATACTCCACATTAATTGAATGAAGTGAGGAGGGACCCATACACACTTGGTCATGGCAATTGATAGAGAAAAAAAAAAAACACTTGACAAAATCCAAAAGTCTTTTATGATTAAAGCACTCAGAAAATTAGAAATAGAAGAGAACTTCCTCATCATGCTAAAGAGCACTTATGAAAAACCTAATATTTTATGGTGAAATACGAAAAGTTTTTTCCCTAAGGGACAATACAAGGATATCCACTTTCACCAATGTTATTCAATATTGTACTGTAAGTTCTAGCCAGAGCAATTAGAAAAAAAGGGAAGTGAAGGGGAGGATACAAGGCATTCAGATTGGAATGGAAGGATTAAAACTATATGTATTGGCAGATGAAATAATCCTATATAAAGAAAATCATAAATAATCCACAACAAAGTTGACAGACCTAAAAAATGATTTCAGCAAAGTTGCAAAGTACAAGTTCAATAAATAAAAATCCATTGTGTTTCTGCATACTAGCAATGAACTCTCTGAAAAATAAAATAAGTAAACAATTTCATTTATCATAAGATCCAAAAGAATAAAATTCCTAGAAAAAATTATCCAAATTGGCGA